GCTGGTGATACACAGCCCTAGTATGATTGTATATGATGTAGTTTAGCTATAAAACTGAGCCAAAGGCAAACATGCCAACTCACCCACAGTAGTGACAGGAGTCTGGGAAGTGTAATGCGCTGGACCGCCTGTGGCAGGATAAGCATTGCCTCCTGGGTAAGGGTAACCTGGATAACCACTGAAGCGGACACAAATCATTACATAACCAGTTAATCACACTCTGTAATTACAACACAGGTTTTTATACAAAGTGTTTTCATATCATGAGTGCTGAAAAAAATACAAATAATTTTAACAGGTTTATTAAATGTTGATTAGACTGTTGCATGATCTTTGGCCAGACTGAAGGAGTCATTACCAGGGGTTTGGGTTGGGCCCGTATGGAGATACTGCTGGCATTCCTGGCATATAGGACTCTGGAACAAGGAGCAGGACACAAAACAAACACTTACATATGCACTGCTGGTGCTGGGAGACCTCTGCTGTTTAAAACAGGCATTACTTTGACAACTGGGAATGGTTAATTGATCATGTAAAGCTTATTTTATATATGAGCAATCTGAGCTAAAAAATTTAGTTGCATAAATATATCTCCAGGTCAAGAAATGCCTGTGTACTATTGCTAAAACCAAAAGAAAAAAAACAAACAAACAAATTATATTTAGCAAAAATACAAAAATTAAATTAAGTTTATTTCCAGTACCATTAAAATGAATAGAAAAAACGAAAAACGAAAAACCGTAAAACGAAAGGCTTAAAAAAAAACATACAAAACAGTGTTTTATGAAATTCTAAATTGCCAGTTGTTCTGTAAGGGGTAGGTTTAGGTGTAGGGTTGGTGTAGGGTGATAGAAAATACAGTTTGTACAGTATAAATACCATTACGCCTATGGAGAGCCCGTAAACCACAAATGCAAGTACAAATGCACTGTTACAAATACTACCATGTGTATCAGTGTTGTTATTAATTACAACTAAAATATTTAAAGCGGTCATATGATGCGATTTCAAGTTTTCCTTTCTCTTTGAAGTGTTACAAGCTGTTCGTGAATAGATAAGATCCCTAAAGTTGCAAAGACTAAAGTCTCAAACCCAAAGAGATATTCTTTATAAAAGTTAAGAGTCAGCCACGCCTACCTAAAACGGCTCGTTCTAACACGCCCCCACATGTCTACGTCACGATGTGGGAAGATTTGCATAACACCGCCCAAATGTTCACGCAAAGAAAGAAGGCTTAACTTTGTTGTTGCTGTCGCCGCCATGTCGTGAAAACGCTGTGTTTCTCGTTGTGAAAGCGAAACTACTTTGTTTGGACTTCCAAAAGAGTACACGACTAGAAATCAGTGGTTAAGTTGTATTTACAACACTGTTCCAGAACACTTCAACCCAAATATTCAGATGTGTGCAGCACATTTTATGGAGGACGTTTCCTGATCCTGGTAGAGTAGACTACAATGCCGGCTGTTTTGACTCACAGACTGTAAGTACGTTTACATATTTAAAGGATTTGCCACTGATGATTCAAATGCGAGTTTTGAGCAGTGTAGAGTAGCACTTGTTGTTTGTTGTTTCTCCGATCACAAATGCAGACATGAATTTATGTTTATGCGGCGCGATGCAACGCAACGCATAAAAAGACAGTATAAGTCATTATAATCAGTAATTATGTCCCCACTGGATGCAACAAATGCCTCGTTTATAATGGGTTTTCATGTTTTTG